TATATATATGTGTGTGTATGTATATATACACACTTTCTTTAGGGACTGCAAAGCGTGTGTGTGTGTGTGTGTGTGTATCCTTAATTTCAGGGAAAATATCCATGTCTAAAATGTCTTTGCTATGTATCAATGGTCAGATACACAGTTTAGTGCATTTCTCTCTCTTCAGTCTGAGGGCTGTGGCTCACACTGTAGCAATGGGTATTAGCATGAAAGTCCTAAAGGAGTCCAGAGAAACTCCGAATGAAGATGGCATTTACCGAACATTACCTATGCATGTTTTCTCATCTGCGTCGAGTCGATGTCCATGGTTACAGGAGCAATGGGGTCCACCAATCGCAGGTTCGCAGTGGTGAGAGCAGCCCCCATTGTTCTTCTCACAGCTATTTACAATCTCTAGTTCAATTCCTTCCCAAAACAAGCAAAAGAGGGCTCTTAGCATAACAATAGATAAAATGGAATATATGTTAACAATGGACGTGCCTTCTCTTTGGAGAGGATGACCCATTCTATTGAAAATATATCAACACTTTATGCATATAAAACTCTAAGGCTTATCATGAAAGACACATCATGAATATACATGCCTATGCTGTGTTGTACTACTAAGTGATAAGAAGTATTGACAAGTAAAGTAATAAGAGGATAAGAAATGCAGTGATGAGTCCATCAGTGGCTACTAGATACTATAAAAGATACTTCCTTTAGGGACTGCAAAGCATGTGTGCATGCGCGTGTGTGTGTGTGCATTAAAGCTGATAATTGTTCTTTTCAGTGACTTTAGGTTAATGAAATGACTATTAAAAGTAACTTGGTGTTGACGAGATACTAAACCAATGTACTGGCTGATCATATGTAAGTTGCATCTTGTGAGTTCGCCAACCAGCTTTGATGCATCTAAAACACACTTATCACATTAGCATACTATTATTTTGGAAACATATCACCATCCCCGGCATATGCTAGTAATTTGGACATATTGGTGAGCATCAGGCCCAGCATCTGAATGTCGACTGGTCTGAGCATTCAGATGTTGTAGCCTCTGATTTTCTAAATGAAGACACAGGAAGTAAAAGAAAGCTTGGCTCGGTGTTTCGAGTGTGAAATTTCAATGCGCTGACCACTGTTTACTTGGTTATGTCTGCCACAAAGGTGTGGGCACCCTGCTCTCATTGACTGCCCCCATATTGGCTTATTACCTTATGCGGTTAATGCCCTAGTCCGTTGGAAGAAGAATATGAAAAATAACCGGACAAATGTACCTGGGATTGGGGCACTCCCTGTGAACATGTTTCATCCTGACACTGTGTGGAGAACCTGCAGCCTCCAAGATTGTGCTTGACCACTATAGCCTGCTCTCCCCAGCCAGCACTGCAGGTCCCTGTCACTCTGAGCCCACGGTGCCGTCTTCATTTTGCCTTAGTAGCTCCCAGCAAACGTTCAAAAAATACATTCCCAAAGATTGGTGAAATAAATGTAGATTCTGCCAATCAGTTCCCTGTTGAAAGAAGGAATCTCTGTGGGCAGCGACTGAGAACACTAGACCATGTAGAGGACCGAATGGCGGAGTGATTTCAATGCATACGCTAACATAGAGCACATGACATCGACCTGAGCTGCTCTTCAGGTTTGCCACTGTCAGCCGTGAAAAGAGATTTTCTTAACAGATTAAAACCATAAGGTTAGAACAAACAACAGCAACAAGAACACCTTGTTCCAAACAATTGAAGTTTATAAATGTGTGAGCTTTCTGACTAGAGCTGACTTCTATAAAGTACCACTCATAAGGCAAAAAAAAAATTATTTGATTAACAGCTTAAATATAAATTTATAAATATTCATGACATCTCTTTCATAAAGTGGCCCCAAATATGAGAATAACTGAAATATTGTTAGATGGGTAAATAATAAACCAGTTTTGGTATGGCCAGTCAGTAAAATAGTGCTCACTAAAGAAAAGCCAGCTCCTCAAGGAAGCAGGAACTTGCCTGGATCACAAAGGCATATGCCCGATGAAAGTTTTTGCAGGGGATAACACATTACTACAGTATTCTAGATGAACAAAGTCCGGAGAAGTAGAGCAGAGCAGTAACTTTTGAATGTCTGTGGTGGGTAGGAATCAGGGACAACCAACTCTAACCCAAAAGTGCTTTCCAGAGTGACTAAGTTACTTAACCCTGGCTACAAGGGTTTCCTAAAACTACACATGTTGCCCCGATGGTATTAAAGAAAAGTTAATTTTCTTGCCTGTTAACTTTTAGAAACACAAGAGCCTCTCTAGGTCTCACACTGTTCTCCAGTGGCTGTCACATTAGTCCACGGTCCCCATTCCTTCCACCTGCCCTCTGGGCTTCCCTACTCTCTCCTGGATATTTGATCTTGTTCTTTCCTGACGCTGGTCCCTACTCAGAGTTCTCCGTTTTTTCCTCCACTTGTCATCTCTTTCCATATGAACTCATTCTTGCTCACAGCCTAAACATTGTTTCCCCCCAACCCTGACCTCTACTAGTATCTAGATTATTATTTTTTCTATTTCAGAAAATAGGTAGAAACTTTTGACTTGCGTTTCTGCATGGGTTGCCAAACTTCACACACTAAAGACAGAACCGATGAGTTGTGAATGAAATCCCCGTCTCTCTGTGTTTTTCCCGTAGACCCACACTTGGATAGAACTGATTAGTGTTCTCCCGCTTAGTGAGGCTTGAGACCTTGAATTATTCTTGATCTTCTTTTCCTTAGACACTGAGAAAATTTTCACAGTATACCTAAATCTGTCTCATTAAAACATAAAGAATGAAAGGGTTTGAGCTGTGTGTAATGGTGCACTTCTATAATCACAGCACTTGGGAGGCAAAGCCAAGAGGATTGTTCAGGAATTCTAGGCCAGCCTGGGATAAATATCAAGTTTGAGGCTAGCCAGGGCTACAATGGTAAAAAATAAAATAAAATAACATAAAATAAAATAAAAGACAACCTTAGATCTACAGTTGGCCACTAGAAGTCAGTTGGTATTTGGGTTCTTAACCTGGGATGATTTACAACTAGCTACTTTCATAGTGTATAAAAATCACACAGGGGCCACACATACACACACACACACACACACACACTCACATAAACTCACATGCATAGACATGCACACACACATGCACACGCATGTGTGTATCACATTCTTTTTAAAAAAAATTATACTTAAAGAAAATCTGTTTCTTCTGATAGGTGAGAAATTCCTCATTTGCTCGATAGATACAATAATAAAGCATATGTATCTAATAACACCAATATTAAGTTGAGAATTCTTTTGATGAAAGTCACCTCTCATGGTGAGCTGTGTGGAACTTTCCGAATCCGAATCACAGGGCAGTAAGAATGAACTCACAGGATATCGTGAGGACTGAGTGACAGAGTGGTTAGATTACAGAGTATATCAAGATTTCCTCTAAAGAAATTAAATGACCATAAAGCCTTTTCTTGGATAAAGGTGAAGCAAGTGTCCACAGCACACCCATCTACCAGAGGAGCTGCATTTACGCTTAAATATCATCATGCTCTGACCAGATCTCCTTGGCCTGTGCATGCGGAAACACCTCAGAACTCAAATTTTCACTGAGAAACGTTTGTATGTCAGTAGTAAACATTGAGGTGTGGAGACGACCTTAGAGGGGACTTAGTTAAATATTCCCATCAGGAAAGTAAATGGAAAAACGCACTTCCGCCCAACACGGGCGACTCGAAGGCAAATTGCTTTCCTGAGTAAATTCTAAAGAAAGCTTGTAAATTATAAACCACTATTGATAATGATCCCTGCGTTCATGGTGCCTGAGAACTTGCAGGTCAGTTTGCAAGATTCATTTGCACATTTTGAAATATGCTCACCCCCTAAATGTCTGGCTATATTTCAAAACCAAACATTAATAAAGAAAATTCCATCCCCATTTTCTCTTCCTGCAAGGGGGGTGCTGCAGGCATTCTGAAAGGGCTCAACCTCAGAAGTCCATTCTTAATTAATAGTCAGTTTCTCTCACCATTGTATTTACTTTGCTCTTTCAAAGGCAAACATCACTGTGAAGAAGCTGCCCTAGAAACACAGTAGTAACGCATCGGTAGACTGGAATGGTACTTCAACAACTGGGAAACAGAATTCTATGCAGAGGACGGTAAATTTCCTGACTTCTCACTCTGTCTCCTCATGAAGAAGCCCAGGAAGAATGTGAATATGCTTGCTTGTCTATCTTTCTCTGTGTGTTCTTGGTCTCGCACCAATAAAAAGACATACAGTGCGTGGAAACGGTGGTGAAGTCGAAGGTCTTGTTTATGCATAATTGAAAGGCTCTTCAAGTCCCAGCCCTAAGACTTAGTGACTTGTGCTATGAGCATTGTGGCATTAGCAGTGAGTGTGAAAGACTGCAAAGAACACCTCCAAGAAAGAGCTGCCACCTAGAATGCAGTAGCTGTCACTCATGTAAGTAAGGCCACCGAGTATGCAGTTAAGGAATGTCATTAGAAGTGGAAGAAATGGAAGCACAAATATTGAGACAGGACAGAGATGAGGCCGAGGAACCAGGACAGTGGAGGAAGGAAGAGAGATTAAGCAAAGAAAGTAATTGTCTTGGTTTGGTATCTAATGCTGTGGTAAGCAGCCAGCCAAAAACAACCTGGGAAAGATGGGGTTGTTTTAGCTTACATATCCCAATTAATCATAATCCGTCATGGAGCAAAACTAAGGCAGGAACTCAAGCAGGGGAGGAACCTGGAGGCAGGAACTGAAGCAACAGCCATGGAAGATCTCTGCTCCCTGGCTTACCCTCCAGGGCTGGCTCAGCCTACTTGCAAACTCAGTGACTTCCACATGAATCACTAGTCAAGAAAATGGCCCGCAGCCTTGTCTATAGGCTACTCTGATAAAGTCATTTTCTCAGCTGAAGTTCTCTCTCCCCCATACCCTGGTTTATGTCAAGTTCACCAAAATTATCCAGCACAGTAAGCAACTGCTGGAAGACATTGAAACTTGATAAAACCGAGCAGGTTTTAATTTTATCTGGCAACATGAAAGGATAAAGATGAAAGAGTCCATGGTGGGTCAGGCAGGGTCAGCCCTGTTAGCAGGGGTTGATGAGAAGTTAGGTGGTGAGAGAGAGAGAGAGAGAGAGAGAGAGAGAGAGAGAGAGAGAGAGAGAGAGAGAGAATGCTTATTTTGGCTAATGAAATTTTTGTTGTGGAAATTCTAGCGGATGTGAGCTCACTTGAGAGTACTTTTAAGATAGGAAATGTTTGTCATGTTAATTTAGAACACAGTAGTAGTAATTTGTCATGTTAATTTAAAACACAGACAAGAAGGGGATTATTATGAGGGCAATCTCTTGATTGGTGTGTCTTAAGAAATAACGACCCCCAAACACAGCCAAAGAAATAGTTTTGGCAGCAACAGGACCTAACTTCTTCGTACTAATAGGGGCTGACATTTCTCCTTATAATCCTATGGGAGATTCAGGAAAGCACATCCGCTTGTGTGGTAGTTTGCATCTGGTTTGTTTGGTGCTATAAAAGTCAAGGTAGATAACTAAGTGGGGAAAGATGATGAATAAATCTGAAGGAGAAAGTTAAACATGAGGCACTTGAAAAAGGAAGATGGAGATTAAAGTTAAGAGGATGGAGGTGAGTTGGAACCAGACAGCTCAAAATTTAGGAAAGTAGACAGTGTTTTTGCTTGTTCATGGGTAAAGGATCAGATAGGAAACATCTTCAAAAGCAACTATAGCCAACAACTCCATAGCCTAGCACTTTAAATACATCCCTAATAATGGATATATTAAACCAGGCAACTGAGCTGAGATGGGAAACTGGGTATGGCTGGGGACACATGGAAAAGTGTTTGGTGAGGAAGTGAGAGGAATGCGTTCATTGGTGAGCATGTAAAATAGGATGGACCAATTGAAGAGGTGTCAGGAAGGGCAAGGGCAAAAAAGCCAGTACTGAAGGCAGACATTGGAACACCCAATGGGTTGGGCATGCAATTACATTCTACAGCTATTCTTTCCTCTTATGTTTTCTTCATCCATGCTCTTTCCTCTTCTTTGGGCATTATGGTGGAACCTTTAGTGCTCAGCAGGGCTGATACAAGAAGACAGAACTTCAGAAACCATCAGAGTCATTATCCAAGATATTCCTGTCAGAAGACCTGAAAGTCCACCCTCACTGACTAGCCTGCGGACCATACTGTAGACTCTGTTCTATTTGCCTCTTTCCTCAACAACAGAATGAAACCGGTTGCACTTGTCAGTCCCTGTCCCCACTTTGTCCCACCAGGCAAAGTGCTCGGGTACTTTCTCTTAGCCAACATTTTCAGTACTGGTCTTTCAATGATCACTCTTGCTTGCTACTTGTAACACCTGACTCACTTCCAAGGCTGTCACGGTTGCTACTTACGGTAACAATGTTTCCCGTCAGCTCCTAGCTCAAAGCCGGGGTGGCAGGCACACGTGAAGGACCCCTCTGAGTTCACACAGCGATGAGCACAGGGAGCAAGCTCTTCAGAACACTCGTCTATGTCTACAGGGAGAGACACACAGCAGCTGTCTTAGCATCTCCAATTCAGCCTTATTTGTGAATTATAAAAATGAATATGCTGCACCTTCCACTTAATCTTTAATTTTCAACACAATACTAGATACCACAAACTCCATCCACTTAGCGAGAAGGAGGGACTTGTGAGCACAAAGCTGCTACGACTACACATCTTGAGTTAGTCTGATGCTCACTAGTGTTTCTTCCCGTCCATCAAACCCAGCGGCTATTAACTGGGAAAAATGAATAGAACTAAAGATAATAGTTCGAATCCACTCCCCAGCAGCACAGGGGCCATTGTAGTCTGACATTATGAACATAGCATATTATTAAATAGATACCCCAATCCCCTGGCTTTTTCTTTACTTTTGAGATTGTATGTTAATTACAACATTTCCCCCCCCACTCTTCCCGCCCTTCAAAGCCCCCCATATTCCCTTTTCCACTCTTCTTCAAATTTATGGGTTCTTTCTTCTTCAATTTTTATTGCATGCATAAATGTATTTGTATATACACATATGTTCCCAAATATGACCCGTTGCAGCTACCTGCTTTAAAAGGGGAGATGCAGCGATGGGCAAGTCAGATGTGGGGCCTTTCTCATAGCAACCCAGACTTGGTCCATATACATCTTTGTAACTATTATGACTATGATACAACACGCCATATGATTCTGGTATCCTCTCTTCAGAAAGTTATGGCCACTTTGATTCAGCATGACTTCAGTTTGGGGGTCCAGGTAACCTCTTCCTTTTACCTGAAGAGGTCCTGTCACATCTTTTCTGACTAGTATATCTTTTTCCCTCACATTTGGCTGCCATTCCGCATTCTCATGTACTGGTGGAACCCTCAAATACACAGTAGTGTTGGGGAGAGATTCCTAGGATTACTGCATCCGACATTAAAATAGGAGCCTGAAAAATAAAGTTACCTGTTTTCCTATTTATCTTGTTTGTTGGTTTTCAAGAGATAATACTTAAGATCCTCTACTGTCCCTTCTGTCAGTTGCCAAGCTAGGTTAGTGCTGAGAAATGAAAAGCAAGGATTGGGGCCACGGCTCAGCAGTTAAGAGCACTGCCTGCTCTTCTAGAGGATCCAGGTTCAATTCCCAGCACCCATCTGGCAGCTCACATCTTCGGTAACTCCAGTTCCAGGGAATATGCTGCCCTTTTCTGGCCTCCGTGCGTACTGCATGCATATCGTACACAAACATAGGCAAAGCACCATCCATATTTAAAATAGTAAAGCAATAATTAAAAAAAGAAATGGAAACCAAAGTAGTATATCTTTGCCAAGATAATATGCTTAAAATTCGTAAAGCTGTTTTCTTTGTATTTCACTTCACTTATTTTCTGTGTACGTATGTGAACGGGGACCGATGTCAAGGTACACGAGTGTGGTCAGAGGACAGCCGGCAGCAGTTGGCTCTCTTCTTCCACCGTATGGGACCTGGGACTTGAACTCAGGTTGCTGGAGACTTTCTCTGTCCCGCCCAGTCCCACTGGGTTTGTTTCTCTCCCACCCACCAGTCCCCACAGTCACTCATAAAATAATCATTTGAGGAGGCTTAATATTAATTATAATTGCTTGACTGATGTCCCAGGCTTCTTACCGGCTAGTTCCTACATGTAATTTAATCCATTTCTAATAATCTGTGTGTTGCCACTTGACTTGTGGCTTCCCAGTAATGTTCTGGCATCTTACTCCTCTGGCTGCTCCTAGCATCTCCCCACTCCACCTTTTTCTCCCATTTTCTCTGCCTGGATTTCCCACCTATTTATAGTCTGCCCTACCATAGGCCAAAGCAGCTTCCTTATTAACCAATGGCAATAGAACATATTCATAGCATACAGAGGGGCATCTCACTTTGTCTAGGCCCAAACCTGTAAAAGCTGAGCCATTTTACCAGTCCTCATTCCCCCATCCCAATCTCACAATGATTTTTATATCTAGTTTGTATTCAATTTCTCAAAATGTTTCTCAGTCCTGTAAGCCAAGAAATATTTTGCTGTTTTCATAATTAATCCAAATAAACTTTCTCATTTCATGGAGATGCTATGGTAAAAATGAAGAATTCTGTGGTTTCTCAGAAGTTATTAAAACAAAGACTGTCCCACAGGACTTCTTTCATTCTCCACTGGTGCCAGTCATGAAATAATTTAGCCCCTTCATCTCTGAACTGAAGTGTGTCTGCTTTGCTATTTCTGGAAACAGAACCGTGTAACCTTGTGTTTATGGCGTTTCTTTCACCTCTCGTTTTAATTATTCCTAAGTACTAAGAGCCTCATTTGCACACACTTGCTTTTCAAAGGTTACCTCCACCTCTGTAGCCTATAATCAAAAACTCCCTATGTGGTTACTGAGGGGTTTGAAATATTAATTCTCGATTTTGCTTAAAAAAAAGGAAACAGAAAACAAAAAAAAATTACCTCTGAAAGCACACTAAGTCATTTTTTATAATAAGTAAGAATTCCACTAAGTTTTTTATAACATTCTAAAATACTTTCATAGTGATCAAGAATTAAAGTGTTCCTTTTTAGCATAAATAAAAACACCTTTTCTTCTACCTGCTCCAACTGTTCAATATGACTGCAACAGAATTTCAAACAATTACCCAATTAAGATATCAGTTTCAGCTTCCTACCTTCACAGGCCTTTTTGTCTGCAGACAGCTGGTACCCAGCATGGCAGGCACACCTGGCCACACCGTCCTCGCTTTGGCATAGGTGAGCACATTCATTCCTTCCTGCACAGGGGTCTGTCTCTGAAAGCAACGAAGCAGTCAGTGATCATAATTCATTCAGTTTAGAAAGATGTGCAGAGTGGATGGCTGGATAAAGAAAAGTCACAAAGATATTAGAGTCAGGTGTTTCCCATTTAAAAATGTTTAGATTCCAGAATGGTGTTTCCAGCTTTCGAATGGCACTCATTCAACAAACACATTTCTGCTTTTGGATCTGAGACCTGATTCTGGGCAAAATAAATAGAGAGATCAAGGTCAAAAGGGACTTAACCTAACATCCCTGCTTCCAAGTTCTGATCCCCTGCCCTCTGCTACACAAGGAAACCAAACACAGTTTTGCAGCATGTTTTACCTAATATCCCTGTTTCCAAGTTCTGATCCCCTGCCCTCTGCTACACAAGGCAACCAACCACAGTTCTGCAGCATGACTCTGGTCTGTTTCTCTAGCTACAGCTGTCCACCATTGGACTGTCAGGTTCTCATTGCATCAGCTTTTCCCTAGATTCCCCCTGACACTGGGTCAACAGGGTGTCAGGAAAAGGCATGTGGAGAAACAAAGGTAGGATTCCTGGCTCTTGAGGACAGACAGGGTCTTTGTATGTAACCCAGGGTGGCCACGAACCCAACCTGATCTCCCCAGCTCTGGCTTCAGAATGTTATGACATTCTGGTTGTTCAGGGTCACAACCATGTTCCACCACACTTGCTAATAATTACATTTGAAATTTCTGAGTGTCTTTGGTTGTCTAAGACCAATTATTGGCCCCAAATTATAATTATTGTTATAAACTGTTAAGTGAAGTTTTCTTGTATTTATTAGGAGTTTTAAATTTGAGAAATGTTCATTTATTCTGTAGTCTTCTCCCGTGGGACAATGGTCTGTTCCCTGTCACTTGTATTTTAAATAAATGCTGATTGCCCAGTAACCAGGCAGAAAGTAGAGGCGGAACGACCGACCAGGCAGAAAGCAGAGGAGGGGAAATGAGAACAGGAGAATTTTGGGGAGAGAGTCAGTTTGCAGTCAACACAGAGGAAGCCAGACACAGATCAAGCAAGATGTGACTGTCTTGCCAAAAAAGGTACCAAGCCAGGTGGCTAACACAGACAAGAATTGTGGGCTATTATAAGTTCTAAGAGTTAATAAGAAACCTGAGCTATTAGACCAAACCGTTTATAATTAATATAGACCTCTGTGTATTTCTTTGGGACTGAATGGCTGCAGGACTGGGCAGGACAGAAACCTTGGACAATAGTCTTCGTCTTCTTTTTTTTTTTTTTCCCCAATGCCTTTTTTTTTTTTTTTTTTTTTTTTTGTCTTTAGGACAGAGTAATGTCAGCATTATGGAATGTGTCCCATGGTGCTGCATATGCTTATACCATCTGACAAACACTGGAGCTTTGGTCTAAGTTCTTTAAAAGCTTGGTGGAATTTGCTTTGGTGGCTTCTGTTTTGAAGAACTATGAACATTAATTCACTTTCTTCATTAGACACAGGGATGTTCAGACTGTCTCTTTCTATGAGATTACCAGGTTGTCTTTTCAAATAATGGATGCCGTTTTACCCAGGTTATACAAAGGGACTGAACCAAATAGTTAGAGACTTGGATATTCCTGTGATTACAATTAATAAGACAAAGTCACCGAAGGGGTTTATGGCGCCATTCAGTGGCAGATTGTCTGTTAGTATATACTCAGAGTTTCCTAAACATCCAGCATTTGTTCCCAGCACCATAAACTTAAGCTGAGACAAGATGACAAGACATTAAAAATTCGGGAGATGAAAGTCAACTAACACTGCATCAATTGACTGACGTTTCTAAGTCCTCCAGCAGGGTCTGCACTCTATGCATTCTTTCTCAGTGCACACAGGGCACTGAAAATGACAGACCATGACCTGGGTCAAAACAAAACATTGATGGATATAAAATGACTAAAGGGGATTTTTTCCCCCTATTTTTCTGTTTTCCTGCCAGTGTTGTTTGCATGGGTGTTGGGCATTCAAACTCAGGTCCTCATGTCCGGTCAGCAAGTACTTTCCCACTGTACCATCCCCCCAGTGCAAGGCAAATACACACACACACACACACACACACACACACACACACACACAGAGAGAGAGAGAGAGAGACAGAGAGAGAGACATGCACACACTTTTTAATTAAATTTACTTTTTTAATTTTAAATCTCTACCTCAGTTTTCCCTCCTTCCTCTCCTCCCATCCCCTCTCCATACCTTCCCTCCAACCCTTTCAATCTACTTCTCTGCTTCTGTTCAGAAAGGAGCAGTTCTCCCACAGAGGCCTGCTTATCAAGTGGCCATAAGACTAAGCAGCTCCCCTTGTATTAAGGCTGGGCAAGGCAACACAGTATGAGGAATAGGTTCTCAAGAGCCAGCCTAAGTGTTAGAGAAAGTCCCTGCTCTCACTGTTAGGAGTCTCACGAGTAGATCAAGCTACAGACTGTTACATATGTATAGAAGGCCTAGGTTGGTCCCATGCAGGTTCCCTGGCTGTTGGTTCAGACTCTGTGAGTTTTGACGAGCCAGATCAGTTGCTTCTGTGGTGTTCTTGTCTCCTCTGGCTCCTACAATCCTTCTTCCCTCTCTTCAACACGATTCGCCAAGCGTAGCCTCATGTTTGACTGTGGGTATTTGCATCTGTTTCCATCAGTTACTAGATGAAAACTCTCTGATGACAATTGATGTAGTCACTAATCTGATCACAAGAGGTGGCCAGTTCAGGCTATCCCCCTTGGAGTCTTATCTGGGTTTATGCTTGTAGGTTTGTGGGAGTTTCCATTGCATCAGGTTTCAACCTGACCCCCCAAAGCCTATCCCCTTTCTATGCTTCTCTTTCAATACTCTCCCCCTCCAGCTGTCACACCCAACCCAGTCTCTCAAGTTCCTATCCCAGAGATCTCTTCCATTTCCCCTTCCCAGAGAGAGTTATGTACCACCGCCCCCCTTGGGTTACTCTTGCTACCTAGCGTCTCTGGGTCTGTGGATTATAGCATAATTATGCTTTACTTCACAGCTAATATCCACTTATAAGTGAGTATATACTGTTTGTCTTTCTGGGTCTGGGTTACCTCACTCAGGATTTTTTTTTTTTTGTAGTTCCATCCATTTGCCTTCAGATTTCTTGATGTCATTGTTTTTAACTTTTAAGTAATACTCCATTGTGTAAATGAACATTTTCTTTATTCATTCTTCTGCCTAGCGACATCTGGGTTGTTTCCAGATTCTAGCTATTACAAATAAAGCTGCCATGAACATAACTGAGCAAGTGTCTTTGTGGTATGATTGAGCATCCTTTGCATATATGCCAAAGAGTAGTATAGCTGGGTCTTAAAGTAGATTGATTCCCAATTTTCTGAGAAGCCACCATATTGATTTTTAAAGTGATTGTATAAGTCTGGACTCCCACCAGCAAAGGAGGAGTGTTGCCTTGTTCCACTTCCCTGTCAGCATGAGCTGTCACTTATATTTTTGATCTTAGTCATTCTGACAGGTGTAAGATGGAATCTCAGAGTTGTTTTGATTTGCATTTCCCTGATGGCTAAGGATGTTGAACATTTCTTTAAATGTTTCTCTGCCATTTAAGATTATTCTTTTGAGGATTTTCTGTTTAGGCATATACTCAGTTTTTAAAATTGGATTATTTGGTTTTTTTGCTGTTTAATATTACTTTATTAGCGTAATATTACAGTCTTTTTAAATTTTTATTTATTTATTTATTTATTTATTTATTTATTTATTTATTAAAGGTTTCTGTCTCTTCCCCACCGCCGCCTCCCCTTTCCCTCCCCCTCCCCCAATCAAGTCCCCCTCCCTCGTCAGCCCAAAGAGCAATCAGGGTTCCCTGCCCTGTGGGAAGTCCAAGGACCACCCACCTCCATCCAGGTCTAGTAAGGTGAGCATCCAAACTGCCTAGGCTCCCACGAAACCAATAGGTACAGTAGGATCAAAAACCCATTGCCATTGTTCTTGAGGTCTCAGTAGTCCTCATTGTCCACTATGTTCAGCAAGACCGGTTTTAACCCGGGCTTTTTCAGACCCAGGCCAGCTGGCCTTGGTGAGTTCCCTATAGAACATCCCCATTGTCTCAGTGTATGGGTGCACCCCTCGCAGTCCTGAGTTCCTTGCTTGTGCTCTCTCTCCTTCTGCTTCTGATTTGGACCTTGAGATTTCAGTCCGGTGCTCCATTGTGGGTCTCTGTCTCTGTCTCCTTTCATCGCCTGATGAAGGTTAATATTCAGGAGGAAGCCTATATGATTTTCTTTGGGTTCTCCTTCTTATTTAGCTTCTCTAAGATCTTGAATTATAGGCTCAATGTCCTTTATTTATGGCTAGAAACCAAATATGAGTGAGTACATCCCATGTTCCTCTTTTCGGGTCTGGCTTACCTCACTCAGGATGGTGTTTTATTTGTTTTTTTTTGATGTCTAGTTTAAATATTTTTAAATAATTTAAAACATCATTGAAATGAACAGGAGAAAACTGAAACAGTATTTAAAGAATCTAGAAGTTTTAAGTATGTAAATCATATGTCAACACTAAAATTTAGAATTTTCAAAAATTAAATAAAGTCAACCCAAAATAAATAGAAAAAATAACTCTGATAATGAAACACCGAAGACACACAATGATGTAATTTTTTTCCAAAGATGAATTGCACTGTTAATACTCTAGTTAAGCTGGTTAAAAATTAAAGCAGGATCACAAACAAGAGAAAACAACAAACAATTTATACACATGTACCTGACAAATGTGTAGAATACCAGCCAAAACCTGTCAACAGAACAACCCAGTAAAATTTACCTAAACTGATTTAGGAAGTCATGGGAAGCTTTTGGACTCCATTTCAACTTCTAGATCTGTTATCAATTTGATTTTTTAAAGAAATTGTTAGTAAACCATCTCAAACATTTGAACAAATGACTATCCCAATGCTATAGAAACCAAGGCATAAAAAAAAAATGTTGAAGTGTGATGCCTCTCATCCTTAGGATCGAGCTGACATC